ATTCTTTGTATTTCTTATGTCATAGGAATTAAAACTCTGCAGATTATTAAAATTTATATCTTGGCTAAAACGTATCTATGTTCATATGAAGAAATAATTACAAATTTGTCATTCTAATTATAATCGGATGTTGTCTGTCATTCTAATTGCAATCGGGATGTGTCTCATAAACCAAAGGCTATCGCATGAAATGAAAATGAAAAAGAAAAAGAAAACCCACCGCGAGGCTCTTTAAATGTGGCCCAAGTCGGAGGCGCATTGAAGTGGGCTTTGGCCCACTTGGCAGATGAAACCCAGGACCCGTGCCCATCCTGCAGCTGGAAGTGGCACACAAAAAGCGGCAATAATAATAACAATAAACCAGGGCCGTAATAGGAATAGTGGCCAAGTGCAAGCTGTTGCATAATGCTGTTGCGAGCGAGTCGCCTCCGACCAACTGGATGGATATAGATGGCCATTCGGACGGATGGCCGGGCTCTTGGCTCCTGGCTCATGGCTCATGGCCCATGGCCCATGGCTCATGGCTCATGGCAATTGCCAAGCGGATTTTCCGCTCCAGAGGACTTTCCCAGCCGAAGAAGAAAAGTCTTGGCCAGAGCTGAAAACTGGGAAACTGAAACCAAAACTGGGAAAATGCGAACTGAGCGGCGCACTGAAGCGTTCACATTTTTAATCATAATATTTTAAACAATATAATTGCGAAACTAACAAAAGATGCAGTAAGCAAATGATGATGCACAAATTGCCAATAATTCGGCTCTTGTGAAAACTGTGAAAATTTTGCAACTGATTGAATCGATTATAAAATTGTTAAATTGGATTATTCAACTATGAACAGTTGCACGAAAGAACAACGTAAAATTCTGTTAAATCAAGAAAGCCTCTAAGAAATTTGAAGAAATTAATTTAATAAGCATGCTGCATTTAAAGAAAGAAAATAAAACAAAAGGAAAGGTAAGGAAAATCCATTCGCAAAAGGCGTTGCATTGAAAGTTGATTACAAATTTAGAAAAATATTTAGCTCAAATGAATTTGTATAATTGAACTTATTAGTTAGCTTAATTATGCTTTCAAATTTCAATACACGTTAACTTTTTAAAGTAAATGAAATTCGAGTATTTGTAATTGCAATTGTACGTTTTAAAATACCAAAAAGAAGGTTTTTAAATTGAACTAAAGTCGCCGCAATTGTTTGGTTTTTAAATTATAGTTAACTGAACATGCTCGATTTTCACAATTAATTAAATAACACGAACAAGTTTTATGCCATTACCACATACCAAACGCAATTTCTATAATGCCATTTTTCATGATTTTTATATTTAAAAGAGACCTTTGAACAGGGTTCCCCTAAAATTGCCCATCCAGTCTGGTGGCATTTAGATATTAACGGTCTAAGGCAAAAATATAAAAAAAGGATATACAGTAGAATCCGGTTATAACGACTCCGCTTATAGCATCCGTCCGGTTACTGCGACGAAAACTCGATGGCTTGGTTGGTCCCCATGCAAACTTATATGATACAAACTTATATGGTTAGTGCTTTTTCCGGTTATAACGACGTAAAATCGTCGGTCCCTTGAAAGTCGCTATAAGCGGGTTCTACTGTACATCCAAGGATATATCGTGGCTAAACAAAGATCCTCACCAAGAACGCCGCTGTAGATGAGACGCCAACCCGCGCTGGGATTTTAAATCAACAAGTTCCCGCAGCCCAAAAGTATGCAGCCCGTGTTCGGTCAAACAAGTTGCGGTCGCAGCATGTTGGCCAAGCAGCCTGCAACATGTTAAGTATGCCACAAACGCAACATGTTCGAGTTCCACAATGTCCACATTGTGGATGCGATGTTAAGAAAAATAGTTCGTTTCTTTTGGGGGTTTTTCGTTTTGCATTAAATCTTTATTTAATTCTTTTGCGCTTTTCTCGTTTTTCTAGGCCAAGTTTTTTCGCCAAGTTCCACTTTTAGACTTAAAACGTTCCTCTGGTAATAATTAATATGCATAACGTTACTTACAGTTTCGCTTAAATTAGTATAATAATTAATAATAATCATAATAAGGTGTAAACTCCTCTCGTTAAATGCCCGTTGTTGTTGGTATCGGTTCGGTTGTCTATATAGTTATGTGCTGCGTTCTTTCGTTACGTTTTCATTAGTTTTTATAAAATATCACATTTTAAGCTTTTTGTTTTGTGGCAAAACCAAAGTTTCGAACGGAAAATTCACCGGCAAAGCAAAATCGGGCGATGGCAGAAGCAAAGCAAATCTAGCGAGACCCAAAGAACGCCAGCACTCGTGATCTTGATCTGGATCTGGATCTGGATCCGATCGGGATCTTTATCCCCATATTCGTTATACATATACTTGGTTGTGGTGCTAAAACTTTGCTTTATTTTACGATTTATCCAATATCTAATGCGCCTTTCTGCGTTACTTCGCGTTTAATATTTATGTAGACATTTAAAAGTCTGCAAAGTGCAGCTTGGGAATTTAAAATTGTAATTTCATGTATATGCATGTCTGTCAGTGTGTGTTTGGTTTCGCTTATTGTGTGCGTGGTGGAAAGTGCGCCCTTTGTGGGCGCCACTTTCGACAATCTGATTTTCCATAGTTGCTACAACTTGATTCTAGAATTTCCCCTACAGTGCTTCGTCTCCTCTTCTTCTTCATCGTTTGCCTCTAATTGTGGACAGAAAATAAACAGGACTTGGAAGATATACGAAAAGGACTCGAAACCGCAGCCAGAATATGGATGTTGTAATGTTTGTTAAATTGAAAATAAATGAATTAGTTAAATCACGGTCAAAATATTTGTAAGCTCAATTTTCTCATTGTAATACTTCATTTTAGGTTAATTAAATTTAAAAACTTTGTGTGACTAAATGAAATCTATGTGCATTTTAATCACTTGCATATATCCACATATAAAGTAAAATTATTAATCAAATATAAATAGTTAATTTAAGACACCTTTTCGATTTCAAAAAATTTAAGCAACTAAAACAGTTTTAAAAATTCAGAAACAAGTACCAAAAAGTTGAGCTCTAAAACATGTTTATTTCGGTTAACAAAGTAAAACAAATTTTAGCTTTCTTTCTGACACCTTTCTTAGAAAACATTTCAAAAAGACCATATAATTAGAGGTTTCGCCACATCCGTCTAACATATCCAACATCCCCAGTCCTTTGTTTCGAGGAATTATTTCTGGCCGAGGCTCGAGGTCCTGCAGTTGGCATTTTAACAGCTCTTTTCCCTCATTGTTCAAGCTGAGTCGGGGAAAAGGGGCTTTTGTTTGGCTAGGGGAAAGTTTTCGAAATGGAAATGAAATTCTTTACAATGTTTCTCTATAGCTGTGCCTGCTGTGTGTGTGTGTGTGGGGGTGTGTGGAGGTGTGGAGGTGTACATTTACCATTTAACATTAGTATGTATGGGCTTATATATGCATTTGCTTAAGACACATTTTTCAATAAGTAAGTAGAACAACTCGCCAACTGTTTCGATTTCAACTACATGCACATAAATTACAGATTTACTTTTGTGGGTTTTTTGTTATAAATGCTTTCCCATCGATTTGCTTTTCTTTTTGCGCTCGTTGCGAAACTCGAATTGAATGCAAAAAGTTGACAGGCATTGACAAATATTTTCTTTTGTTTTTCCTTGGCATTCGTATTCGATTCAGCCCTTTCGTCTGCTGTTTGTGCGTCAATTAAATTGTTTATGTGTCCAAATTTATTTACAATTTGTTTAACACTCAGAGCTTAAGTTACCAAAAAAAAACACGTTTTATTAAATATTCTTTTTTATTAATATTAATATTCGTATAGGTATAATCCACAATCTTTACTCTATGTACAAGCATTGCTAGTTTATAAATAATAAAAAAAATCGTATATATTTAGATTTATATATGTTTAATGATCATGTTCGCTTTACGCGTAGACAACATGGTGGTGCAATCTTCTAGATCTAGTCTCCACGTACGTCCACAAAAAAAATTATCGCCCTCACGTATTTCTAGTCGGATGCAATAAAAAAAATTCGCTTTAACATAGTTCGTATGTACATGAATAAATATATGTATATATATATATGTGTATAAATATATATATACTTATATATTTATATAAGTGTGGGTGTTTTGTGTGTGTTTGCGTGGGGTGAGTGCGGGTTACATATATTCCATATAGACATATGCCTAACATACAGTTAATTATATAGCGGTGCCAGATCTGCCAGATGGTTAATAATACATATATTTTGAATATATATATTTATCAATTCTGTGCTTAGTAACGATTCGTTTAAAATGTTCATCGGCCGCCAGGAAAAAAAACTTCGATATACATATATTCAACATACGCAATTCGTTCATCGGTAATCGGGTATTGGTTATCGTGTATCGCTTATCGTCTATCGCCAATCGCTCTAATCGTTCAGTTTCTGCCTCTTCAGGGGGGTATTCTTCATCTCATCCTTTCTATTTCTCATATGTGCTAATTCTGCTCGCCTCCAAGCGACTTCATCGTACTTTCTTTCCCATTTCATGCATTTCTTTTGTAGTTACTTTGTTGTAGGTACCTTGCGTTTCGCTTTAAAGTGATTCCGTATCTTATCCGTATACCATATACCGTCCTCCCCCAAAACCCCCTCCCCCTTACAACATATCCGCTATGGAGCCGTAGTGCTGTTCCTGGCAAATCGGACGACAGCACTCCTCCACGGCGTCGTACTTGTAGTGGCGTTTCCGATTCATCTGACTCCTCTGGTAGTAACTCCTCTGCTCCTCCGGATCCTCCTCCTCCTCCTCCTCCTGATCCTCCTCCCGATACTCCTCCCGTTCCTCCTCTTCCTCCTCCTCCTCCTCCTCCTCCTTACTGCCCATCTCCCCAGGATCACAGCCATCCAGCTCGAAGGGATTCATGCGATCCTGGGTGAGGGAGTAGCGATTCTGGGGCGGCTGCAGTGATGATGTGGACGATGACGTGGACGCTGATGACGTCAGCTGCTGATGCTGATGGTGACGACGGCTGCTGTGGCTACTGTAGCTGCTGCCGCTGTTGGGTTGGTGGTAATAGTGGATGGCATGGCATGAGGCAGTCTTTGAATTGTATTCCTGCAAGGGAGAAACGGACAAATTAGGTTAGTTTTTTAGTTTTATTTGGTCAATTATAAATTATAAAATTTGATATATTATTATTTGATTAATTATACTAAGCATTTAAAACCTTTATTTTACTTTAGGTTTTCTACATATTATTGCAGGCAGTGGCTTTTCATTTTCTTCTCTAGATTTTTCTATTGTGTTATGTTATTTTTAGAGCAAGTAAAACAGTTTTATTTTTAAAGCGCTAATTGTTTATAACCAAACTATAATTTGATTATATTTTTCCCTACCTATATTATCTTGGCATAAGAAAATGAATTGTTGGACTAGTACAATAAATAAAATAACCCAGCTTTCTTGATATTAAATAAGTGAAGAGAAAACCTCATCAAACTGCTAAACAATATTCAAAATAAAAAAAATGTGTATTTTAATTAAAACTCTCCAACTTAAAAAATACCAGAAACCTGTGTGTTGAGTGAATAAATAGTGTGTAAACTATATCAAAAACATCGAATCAAACTCACCCTGCTGTAAAATTAGTTTTCGCTTGTGTAGGGTTTTATGTAAATAACTTTCATATTGCTTTATTGGCCTTTAGTTTGATTTGATTTTTTTTAAATAATACTACTGCTTTATTTTGTGAATTTCATGGCATTTATTCAGCTGCACTTTGGTTTGGAAATTCAGCACGAATTGAAACCTTAACCGATTGAACTGTGATGCCATACAAGTTCAACAAGTTCGGGCTTTTGGTCAAGTCAAGTGAGGAGATTCCCGCAATTGACTTTCGGCAGCTTCTTCTTTTGTCTACTTCCGCCCCCCCTCCTTTCACCAAACCCCCTCCCCTCCGCTCCCCTCTTACCCAACACACTAAATTCACTTCCCTTCGGTCGACTTTTCCTGAACCAACTGAATATTGTCTGTGCTAAAATTTGTTGCCACAATTTGTGCAACAAATTTTGTGCTGCTGCCTTTGCTTTTGGCTTTGGCTTTTGGCGCACTGCCTCGACATCTGTGGCCGTGTGTGTGTGTGTGTGTGTGTGTGGAGTGTGTGTGTGGAGTGTGTGTATGGGGTGTGTACAGAGTGTGTGTGTAAATAACCAACATAATGGCAGAAAGGTCGCATTCTCATAAAGTTGGCGCTGACTTTCAGGGGTATCCTGCGCTTCCCTGCCCTTCGCGTCCTTCGCGTCCTTCCTGTGTTCCGCATATTATCAATAAATTGCATCTGACTGCCAAGCAGACAACAAAACGGTAGCCCTATCTGCACAGCCCCCTTCACCTCATACCCCCCACCACCCCACACCTTCTTTCTGAAGGACCATTTGACACCCACCACCCACAATATACCACCCACCTGACTAACCCGTTATTAAGCGAGAGCTTTAACACTGAAGCGAAATACCACACGTCGGGCTTAGGACACAGAAATTCCCGCCATAAATACTTGAAATCTAAGGTATTCTTTCCAAAAAACACACCATTTTAATTTGAATATTAATAAGTGCTAAATGTTGTAGAGTTTTAAATGCCAAATCATGGCACTCAATGCACTTAGTAAGCATTACAATTTTGTATTTGTTAAATACTGCGGCTATCCGAAATTCTTTCCTTATTATTTACCATTTTAATTTAAACATTAAAGTGTTCAAAATGTTAAGTTTAGTGAATTAAATTTCAAATGTTCATGAAATTGTATAAACACGGTTAAATGCGAAATAAGAGCACTCAATAAATTCAGAAGTAATATCTGTTAATATCCAATTACAATTTTGTATTTGATAATGGGCTTTGCTATCAGATGATAATTACTGAGTTCGTTTTTGCAATCCAAAACAATTCAAATTCTAGAGCCTGAAATGCATATGCAATTCAAACTCAACAGCAAAATGTAAACCAAATAAGGTTAATTTGCCAACAATACACGGTGCTCCTTAAATAATGTTCAAATTCCAGGCTTTTCAGTCTCATTTTCACACAGTGTACATGTAATATGGGCTTGGTCCCTTTTGCACCGCACCTTGTTCTAATTTATTTATTGTTGCATGCATGTGCTTTTATTGGGCGTCCTCCATCCAAGTGGAGGACTGGAGCAGTGGTGTCCAGTCCACCGCAATATCGGAGCAGTCCGGTGCTGCTGGACTTTAACAATTATGTTTCTGGCCCGAGGGGGAAGGGGGGTTCGGTCAAAGTCAACAGTGGGCGAAATTTCTGACAATTTGATGCACTTGTCGCTGGGTGGCCCACCATTTGGTGCCAAAGTTATTAAGCACTTTTCAGGGGGGATAATTGGGGGGCGGAAGTTAAATACAGGATGAGCTGACCCAAAATGGACCGAGTTTTAAAATCGACTTAAGCAGGCAAATGTATTTCGAATATGCCAGCACATGCTGGAAAATGCCATGCAGAGGACAGAACAGAACAGAACAGAACTGAACACCCTTTCCCTTTCACCTTTTTGTTTCAAGTTTATTGATGTCGACGTGGGTTTTCATGCCTCAGCAGAGGGTCGAGTGGGAAAAGGGGGGGAGGGAGGGGTGAAGACTGGGGGAAAAGGGGTGCAGACTCGTCTGCAACGTGACAAAACCCATTATAGATGCGACCGCAAAGATAACACTCGCTTTTCGGTCCAGACTCGACTTCTGATGGATGCCCAAACACAAGTGTCAAGCCTTTGGGTTTGGGGTTTGGGTGTTTCGGCTGTTTGGGTGTTTATTTGAGTGCGGGAAAAGGTGGACGAGCTGGCAGAGATGGGAAAGGTACTAATCTTTGGACAGTCTATAACCACCCATAACCAAAAATCATAGTACCATACAGAGTTTTTTCAAATTAAAGTAATAACCTCTATTTAGTTTATTTACTTAAGTTACCTTTGTATCACTATATAAATTTCTACATAAAATAACAATAATTAGGGCCTTTTTTCCTGATATAAGGTCCAGCAAATAAGTACCTACATATATGTGTACCCAAAATATTTCCACATCACCATCACTCACTGGTGAAAAGTGAGAGGAGCGGCGCTCCAAAGTTTCCATAAATTTCATTTTGTAACCATCAAAAAGTTAAGTCAACGATAAATTGAATGGCTGCATGATTGACTGAATGAATGAATGAGAGGCTGTGATGGGTGCTGCAAGTGGGCGGTGGGTGGTAGGTAGTGGGAGGTGGGCGTTGGGCGGTGGGGCAGGTTGCGGCTGTCAGTCGCTTGTCGGCCATTGTGAGGCTCGTTGCGTTTCGGCCAGACATCAAAATCCACAAGCCGGTGCAAAAAAAAATTTGGGAAAAAATATGAGAGTGCCAAAGAGATAAATGGAGCAAGGATAAAAAATGCCTACAATCCGAGGCAAAAAAATGGCACAGCACAGGTTGCTAAAAAAATATCTAAGCCCATTAGGTTTCGCATCTTAATGCACTAATGGTTTTTGAAAATAAATATTCCGATTAATATATGCAGTTTCAGTGCTATTTCTTTCAAGTAAATTATGATATTGTCGTTTGGTTGTTTATTTCTTCCAATGATTATAAACGGATTTGTTTGAGATATATTTTTGTACCCTTGCAGGGGATATTATTATTTTGCTGAAGTAAGCTTCTATTCTCGTCTATATAATAATAAAATTACCCAAACGGCATTTATATCTTATATTATATAAATGTCATGCTTGTCCAGACTGAAATAGGAATTTCAATCAAATTATGCAGTGGTTTTGGGTGTAAAAAAATGTGAAATTAACTATTAAATTGAAATGGAAGTACGAGCCGGAAAAAAAAAGCCACAACTATAATATCGACCACAACTGTATTCGTGGTGTGTGCGTAAATAAGCGTCAATATAAATATAAAGCAGGCGACAACAACGATGCCAAAAAGTCAAAAGCCGTCAAAAGGCATCATTGAACCAACGGGATAGGGGCGTAGCCTGAGGGGGTGGTAATGGGGAGAGGGGGCGTGGTCGAGGTGAGGTGGCCAACACCTCCATAAAGCGATTGTCTGCGTGGGCGTCGCCTTTTCGGCCAAAGAGGCGTGGCACCGACATGTGACAAGTGCCCTCATGACAACGTCATGGCAACCCCTCTCCCCCTCCCCCCACTCCCCTTTTTCCACCTGATGAGTAGGTAAAAGGGGGGAGGGGAGGGGGAAGCACCTGCCCAAGCCAACAATAGTGCGGAAATATTAAATCTGCGCGTCAGACGAAACGAGTGAAGGCACAGAAGAAGAAAACAATTTCGGGAAAGTGAAAATATTCGGGTAACAAAAGTGGGGTCTATATACACACATACATACATACAAACATAAAGGGGCGACGAATAAAAAAGGGGCGGTGAATAACTGAGGGTGAAAGGGCGTGTTAAGGTCTTTATATAAATTGCAATAAATGCGAATTGGGTCGTAAGCAGCATTCAGTTTTAGCGGCGACAGGAAGGCAAACTTAAAACTGATTATGTATTGATGGGTGATGGGTGGAGATAATCAAATGTATACAGCACCATCTGCCGTTGTTACAAAGGATCATTTTTAAAGTGGGGAAATATGAATTTGATTGGGAAACTCATTGCATATGGTTAAGGTGAGGTTGGTAGAGTGGGGGGAAAGTGTGTAAAAAAGGGTTTTGTAAACGATACAGATGTGGAAATTTGGGGGTTTCTTAAACAAGGTGTATTTATGTGATGGTATATTTGATATGTAATAAAGTAGACTGAGATAAGTGTTAAGAAAAGGTTAATAATTGGCTCTAATATGCCTTAATAAGAGAAATTAAACATAGTGCATAGTATCTTGCTCACGCAAAATAATGTTTTTATACCCTTGCAGAGGGTATTATAATTTTGGTCAAAAGTGTGCAACGCAGTGAAGGAGACGTCTCCGACCCTATAAAGTATATATATTCTTGATCAGGATCACCTCCTGAGTTGATATAGCCATGTCCGTCTGTCCGTCTGTCCGTCTGTCCGTCTGTCTGTCCGTCTGTCTGTTTCTACGCAAACTAGTCTCTCAGTTTTAAA